TAATTACTTTATGAGTAGTTTATTCTTAGATTCTCTCTTCAAGGGTTAAATTTGGGTTGCAGATTTATTCTAAATTTTTCTTTCACTAACTGAATTAGATTAAGAACTTGGTGAATCTGATTTAGCTTTCCAAGGAGTTGCTTCCAAGCACTAAGGTATTAAGTCTCGAGTATAATATACCCTAGTTCGTATCAATTTAGTATCAAAGCTCAGGCTCTAAATCAGGTTATATCCTTTGTGTTTCATCTCTTTACTTCTATCTCATTGTTTCAAGTCTTTGTTTCCATTTCCATCCTCTAAATCCATTCGTTATTGCTTAACATCCAGCATATCAATTTAGTGTCCTTTCATTTTTCATTCGTTTCAACTTGTTTTCTGTTGTTAATTTTTCATCATTTGTTGTTCTCCATCTCCTGTGAGCTATTTGTCATCCAAAAGTTAGTCCATTCAAGTTTATTTTTGTTGTTTTACATAAAAAAATATTTAAAAAAAAAGAAAAAATAGAAAGAATGTGAAAAGAAAAGTAAAAAAAAAAAGAGGATTTGAAAAAGGAGTTCAAAAAAATTCAGTTTGTTTTCCTAGATTAAAATTTCTTTTAAGTCGTATTTCTTTGTAAGAATTTATGTTTATCTTTTATTTCCATCTATCTTGGTTGAGTTTCATTCAGATTATTTTTTATTTTCTTCCAACTTGGTTTATTCTATTTCTCATTGTAATTCAAAACATTTGTATAAGCTTTGATTCTCTACAACGAATCTTAACAAGAGAATTGGAGTGGTAAAAGACTGAGTGAGATATGTGAAATTAAGTGATACCATCATTTAAGTGAGATATGTGAGGGGGTGATGTGAGAAACTATTATTCTGCTTTAATAACTTTGATTTATAGCTTAATACAAGATGAGTGGACAAGCAAATAATCCACAAAACAAGATAGATGGGTTTCAAGCCTTAACGAAATTTATGCAAGCTATGGATAGAAGATATGGTGAGATTACAAAGGGGCAACCACCTAATGCTCCTAATCCAGCCATGCATGGTAGAAGATTTGCTAAATAGAGTTTAAGAAGGTAATGACTTTAAAGATGATGAATTACATGGTGATAATGAAGAAGTGAAGAGGTGCAACCGAGAGTAAGAAACAACAATAATAGAAACTTTAGTGGTGTTAAATTGAAGATTTCATCCTTTCATGGATAGATCCTAAAACTTACTTGGATTGGGGAAAAAAGATTGAAGTACTATTTCATTGCAATAGAAACTGCATGGTAAAGCCCAGTAGAGTCGCCACGGCCGAAATCATAAAACCCCTCCGATGAGCCCATTCCCGCTTCTAGTTTCAAAAATTTTTTCGACCATTGTGTTCACCGTCTTTTTCTGTGTAGATTAGCTAAAGAAGAATCCCCAACCTTGAAGAAAAACCGGTGGAGCCACCGCACCCAGAGACCCCCCCCCCCGGCTAATAGGTTTAGTTTTTTTGTGATTTTCTGGCCAACCGATGCCCCCTAACGTATTTTTTCCCAAGGA